CCATGGTAACTTACTCGAAGTATCTCCATGTCCGAGGGAACCACGCAGGACTGGAAGCAATAGCAACTGAGTGCCACTGTGCACCCTCACTTAGGTTGGGCCAACAAATATTTGAAAAATAAAACCAACAGTGACAGTTACAGTGCAATTTATCAGTGATGTTGAAGTATTTACAGATCAAGTAGGCGTAAAACAGCAGCATACTTTTGCCTTACATGATGCACCATTTGTTGACAGTGGCTCAGTGTCACGCAAGCGCGTGCTTCCACAACAACCTGCTCCAAAAAGTTCATCCTCCACTCCGTCTTGCTCAGAACACCAGCTGGATCTCCTTGTAGCATTTCGCTATATCTCCTCCTCATTTCTTGTTTAACGTAGGCCTTAATGATGCTCCAAATCCCTTCAATGGGGTTCAGTTGTGGAGAATACGGTGCGAGTCGTAGCAGTGTTCCCGAGGTGTAAGCTTCCTCTTGAAAAATACGCTCCAGATTAGTGTGACATGGAGCGTTATCACAAACAAGAACACAGCTGTCAGACAAATGTCTACCATCTGTATCAAGCATCTGCCGCAACCAGCGCGCACATCTTTTTGTAACTGCCCCTTAGAACGGAATACCCCAGCAATCCGTCCGCGGTCATTGCGCTTATTAGGTGCAAATTTTGTCCCTGACTGTTGGCCACCGTACACTGTGCACGGGTGCCGCGTGCCGATCGACCCCTTGTGCGCGCGCAGAACAGATTGAAGTTTGTCTCATCCATCCATACTGCTCGCCGTCCTTCAGCCTCCAACCTCATCAGTGTCAGGACGTAAACCTTCCTTAGCCTCTTGTTCTCCATGGTATTCATAGATTCTGGTATTGAATGCAATCTCTTCATTGTCATGAGCCGACCGTCTAGGCAGCGAGCAATGGTGCTGACACTTACCTCCACCTCGAACTCAACCTTCAGTCGTAACCGAAGAGTTTCTAACGTCACTGATGACTCCGATTCAACCTATTCAACAAGGCAATCAACGTGACTTTCTGACAGCGACCTTCGACGCGGCACAGTAGCAGTACTTTTCGGCTCATTCAGTTCCAATTTTCTAATCCAACTGCGACATGTCTTCACGTTTACCTGTAACACAGATGCAACATTTTTCCAGTCGTCGCCTTCCTCATAGGTCTTCAGTATAATAGCCTTCACGTCAGCCGGATGATGGATGCGCGTTCCTCTTTGTTCTATCACGATTAGCTTAAAGGTAACAAGCAATGAAAAGCTAATGAAAGACAAACCTTGCGTCGTTAAATGAATCTTTCGAAAACGCTCGCTGTCGCAACGTAGACCTACCTGGGCCTGGGAAAACCAGAAGCGACAAGTTGGCTGGCCAAATGGCAAATATGCCATCATTAGTCATGTCCATGCTTATACGTCTAAGACCATCGCAATGGCACTGTGGCTGTAGGCTTCCACTTCCGTACTCGAAGTTGCTTTGTTGTCTGTTGATTCGGTGTGCTGGTCAGCACATAACGTTAGCCATGCGTACGAGAACATTTGCAACATTTTCAGGCCAGATGTGTCCGGCCCCTTTCGTAGTTTGACCCATGTCAGCTCCATTAGGTAGTTCCATGCTCAGGTGTAAGGGCTTATTAGGCGAGCGAGCAAGTCACCGCTGACTAGTGTGCACTTCGTCTCCGCTGCCACATCTGTTAGGGGTGGTTGTACAAGTGTGAAGCCCCATACAGCATGAATCACCTGTTTTGGAGCCACAACTATATGTACGTCACGGCCGCCCCAACTGACAACGTCCTCAGGCCTGACTTGACGGGCCCCTGTCCGACAGGTCCCGCGACTATTTCGTGGTTCGACGCCCGAAGGATTTTAACATGTTGGTACACGCAGCACAAACGCGTCGGAGGGTGTGAACAGTAATGCCACCTTCGCCGTCCCATATTCAGGGACTTGTGAGGATTGAGCAAGTCCGCTATGTTGAAAGGCTGCATGTACCCAAACAAGACGCACAGATGGGAGTTGTGCGACGGTCTAAAGTGTCCGGTATGCAAGACGTCAAAAATAATTCATGTTCCAGTGAATTACGGGGTATGCTGAGCTTCGGCAGGCCAACTATTTCCATTTCATTGTTTATAATGAAAACTAGAAATCGAATTGTGTGCGAAGAAAATTTTCCTTCCATGTTGCAGAGCTGAGTGGCAGCTGCGCTGCACAAAAGTGAGCGGTCTGGTCGGTTGAGCTGCACTAACAATTAGAATAAAAACGCAAGATATACCTGCAGGTCATCAGCTCTCAGATAGCTACACCTTAAACCCTGCGTAGGGCACCTACCAAAGGCTTGAACAATAACACAAGTTAACGGAACTTTGGGAGGACTTCACAGGACGTCTAGGGAGTATACTTGTCCATTGCTGTTGAACCACATCAGTCCATCAGATCCAAATACATTGTTTCGGAGCCACGCAATCTTCCCATAGTCTACGAATTTTTAATGCACCGTCATTAAACCGGACATACGGCCAGGAACGGCACGCAAACTCGATCCTGCATAGTCGCTCACCTAAGTGTTATAGTTGCGGTTAATGGGGCTTAAGGCAGAAAAGGACCTTCACCGCACCGGACAGTGTATGGACCAGATCTCAAGTCACATGGAACGGACAAGACAGCCGACTACAAAGGTTATGGTGTGAGTGTTTCCGACTCGAGGCGGCCTGATGGATATGAACCACAGTGGACCATTGGGTGAGAGCGAAGTTCACGGTCCGGTGTGTGGGAGGACATTGCACTTTTAATGCACCAGACGCATACGAATGAAGCACTGGGTGCACCTGTAAAGTTGCATAGGTTTAGTAAGCCGTGTAGTTCTCCCAGTGACTCCGTCGCATGGCTCTGCGCACATCTCTGTCGGTTCAATACGCCCCACTATTTTTGGTGGTTCCAATGTGTCCGGCAATATAACAAACGGCAACTCCAAAGTAGAAGTGGTTGTTTGTTCGATCTGTCGTTTGCGTCACTGATAAACGTGCCGTATGACAGACAACGTTCCGACAGACACCACGTACAGCACAGAGCATTTGCTTTATCGTGCCACTGCATGTTGTCAGGTTTGGTAGTTTGGCCATGCATCCAAAGCGTACACCGGCTCCCCTAGTAGAAATTGCATTTTGCTAACCACAGGCTGAAAGAAGTTTCGTCTAGAGGTGAGAGCACTTTCTCCAGTGTGCCTAGGAAATGTGTGGGTCCGAACCCATAATGTAGGCGTCATCCAGGTATACTGCGACACCAGGAATGTCATTCAGCAGCACATCCATGATTTGTTGAAAAATGGTCTCAATCGTACGGTAGGGCGGACGGCTGCATTGTGGACTCTGCCCCACAGGACAAGTGCTTTTGCACCGGCGCCGTAAGTTACGAATGCAAGAGCCACAGGCTGGCACGATCAACAGACTCGAAGGCAGCAATCGGGTATAAGAAAACCAATATAGTCAATCGGCTGTGCGTTTCTGTTCAAACTTTCACGAAAAGTAAGATGCTTGATGTAAAGAACATCTAGGCGCAGGCAATCATGGTTTTCAATGATTCGGCTCTTCAAAATGTTCCGCCCAACGGGCTAGTAGACGATGCCGAGAATGGATCAACTGTCCATCGTTCTCAGCTATGGTCACACTAACTGAGGATTTTCTCGGACCCGTGCTCCGGATGATGAGGAAGAGTACTCGGCTGTTCACAAGAGCACTGGCTTTCTACATCTCATGTTCCCTGTTAATTCGAAGGCTCCGTATGGCACGAAAGGCCAGTAAAGAGCGTTTTTGATCGTGTGCGTCCTTGTACATTGTTCAAGGCATCGCTGATCTTCGAATAACCAGTAAACCAATGTTCTGATTTACAGGAGCACAGTGATACTGCCTATAAACCAGCCTCATTCCATTAAGTAACTGCCTCGCAAGATTTAAAGGGAACAAATACGCTACAGGTGCGTGTGATGTTAGGGTATAAAACAGTTCCTGTGAATTAGGGCGCAATGTGAAATGAAGATTAAAATCGAGGTGTCCTTGACTACCGGAGACAGCGAATGCATGTGCAAATGTGCCGTGCTAAGAAAAGGATCAAATAATACAAATTCAAAGTCGTTTTTAAAAGACAAGCCAGTGGAGACATATTCAAAGACTCGATAGAAAATAAGTGATATGTTCCAATGCGGCGGTCTACAGTGTACGCAGGGAAAAGTATTAACCAAAAACGGAATAAGTAAAAGTAGTGGTATAACAAGTTTAATGAGCGGCACATAAACAATAAGAGACTGCTGGGGATCTGAAACAGCATGATGACACAAGGTGATTGTCTGATCTATGAGATGAATGGTGACGTGCGAGGTGCAATGGAGCGGAAGCTATCACAAAACAGGAACCACACGAACAATGCATCTCGATTAGGATTTTTAGGCAATATCTTTGGAAAATCATGCTCTACACGAGTGCACAGAAGGAACCTAGATGCAACCCAGCAGTGGAATGCAATCGTAGCTCATAGAGTGGGCAAGGCAGACATCAGCAGTACGCTGGCACATGGTACCGTTGTTTCGCTACTACGCGACCGCCAGCAGTCGCACGATGGCTGGGTATATCGCGACGTCGCTGGCATCTACGCGGATTCGAACCGATGAGCTCCGGATTACGAGGCAAACGTGTAATGTCTTCGGTTACTGGCACATCAAGTAGACGGAATGGTGGAATCCGATGAGTCTCATGAGAACAAGTTACTTGTACCGCGAAATCGGGCGGAAATAGGAAAAAACGCATCCAATCAGTGATTGTGAGTGCCAATCACAACTACAGCTCTTGGTTGATTGGGAAAGCAACCCTGGACAAAATAACGTAAGGCATGTCAGACCATCAAAAATCAACGTTAAATGTGATTTTAACAAATGGTGGGTAATAAAAGTTTTGCAAGTGCAACTCGGCCAGAAACAAAGTAGACAATAACCTTGAAGTTGAATAAGGGCAACTGACCGTGGTCAAGTCCAATGGTTGCTTCACAAAAATATGCGGATAGATGAGCACCTCGGCCACAGACCTCGACGCGCTCAGGTTGAATTCTCGCTCAGACACAGAGGGAGGAATGGACTCCGATTTCGATGCTAATGGATACCAAACGGGCAGATAGCCCCTGGATGCAGCCAGCTCTGCAGGAGTGACGCCAGCCAAGTTCGGGCAATCGACAGACCATGAATAGGGTGGGTTGGATAGGAGAGCGACGCACCTGGCTGCATCTTGATGGACAGCAAACTAGGGCAGAGAAATAGGTACACAAAGAATGGTAAAGAAACCATGACTTGAGCATACAGCAAATGCAGAACTAGCTAAAATGAAGTGCTTTGAGGTAGGTGAAGGATAAATTGTTATTGCCAGTATACATACAAGTCGGTCCTTTCCTGATAAACGTAGAAACGTACAAAATACTTACACAAGCCAAATCCGTAGCTCCTGATGTATATTCAAAGAGGGGACCCTAAGTGCCTTCTGGTGGGTATGCTATGAGTTTACCCAATATCAAGAGGAATGTACCCTAACTTTTCATCGGTGGGTGCAGAGTTTACCCCCTTCTTCCCCTAAGTGTTAGCTGGGATGGAGACGTAGTGTGTCGGAGCCAATATTGTGTAATTCTCCGTATCCTTCACACTGCCGGAGTGATTTGTGATACAGGGTCACCGGTCCGAGCTTGCGCATGTGCGGATCACGTCGCAATATCATGACCCGTATGTAATCGATGGTTGTTGTGTGGGATCAGAGCATCCGCACGAGATACCGACGTACTGCTAAGAGACCCTAGATAACACACTGTCACGGATAGGAGTAATGTCGGCGGTGTACTCCAAGTCAAGAAGTAGATCACCTGGGAACAGCTCCACAATTTGTAAATCATGTCCAGTGAATGCGATTTCCGTGACTTCGTCAATGGTGAAGTTAGAAAGGGAAGTGACAGCGGGCATCCCAATCTCACACCGCTAGAGATAGTAGAGAGTGGTGACAGCTTACCGTAAGCCCTCACTCTGTCAAAACTGCGTGCGTAAAGCGTTCTGATAACGTTTATGATTGTCTCCGGCAAACTTTTCTTGAGTAGACAGTCCCAAATAAAACATCAATCAACCGAAGTAAAGGCTCCTTTGATGTATTGGAACACCAATACAGTGACTGGCTGATAAATATGGTAGTGCTCCAACAGTTGCGGTAAGGTGAAGACGTGATCCTTAGAGCTGCGAATTCGACGAAACCTGGCCTGCTCCTCGAGAATTTGGCTTTTATATGTGCCAGCAAGTCCATGAAGAACGACAAAGGCGAGTGTATTTGAGGCGATTGAGCTCAGGCTGTCCCACCTATGGTTGCCGCATTCAGAACGTGAACCCCTTTTGAAAATTGAAACTATCACGGAGTGGCTCCAGTCTGTTCGGACTGTTTCATGCTCCCACAGCTTCACAAGTTAGTTATGCAGATCACCTACAAGAGCAGGTCCTCCGAATTGGAAGAGCTGTATGAAGTCTATCTGTTCCTGCGGCCTTACCCACTTTCGACAGTCTAACCTGACGTTTGACTTTGGCGCGTGAAGGCAGGTTAGGGGGCACGGCCCAGGGAGTCGGACGATCAATGGCCGAAGGAGAAGTTGGTAACTGGATGATTAAGCTGCTATTCATAATGACCGGCCAAACGCTCCAAGCGTTTTGACGAACTGTGGATTGGGCGTCCACCATCGTCACGTACGGTCGCGCTAACATCGGGTCTCCATCTGACAGGTTCGCGTATCAGACGGGATAACTTCCGATGGTAACTAACAGCAGCGGTTGTCTCCATCTCCGACGCACGATCAGACCACCAGGTTTCGCAGTCTTCCTTAAGGTTAGCGTGCAGTTTCGCCGTGAGATCTTTGTGAGTCTCGTTGTGTCCGCTCCCATCCAGAACGTGTCGGCGAGCATCCAAAAGTTCCAGAGATTGCATAGAGACTCAATGTCCAGGTTGGCGATTTGATTTTCCACATGAAGACATACCTGCCGCTAATAAAGTCTAGTGGATATGCCACTAGTGGCCCACTATTGCGTTCAGAGAGCGCTTACTAAGGTCGGACGCCAGCGTATTTTGATACGCTTCGCCAGCTGGCAAGCATCTATACGCTTACAGCGTCGCCGCATGCGTCCACCGAAGGAAACTGCAAAATCGGCACAAAAGAGTGTGTGGCTATGGTCCATATACGTGCTCCAAATCGAGCGACAGATTTGGACACAGGATTTCAGCAGTAATTGATCGCGATCTGGTCGATTTGTGTCCATAACTGATCCGAGACTGGTGAGCGCCATGTCACCCCTCGGCGGATGCTGTGTCGCAAGAAGCAAAATAGCATCTTCACAGTGTAGTAACCGCTCACCGTTATCATCACAGGAGCCTATATTGTGCTGGCCGTTTAAATGCAGCTCATCGGTTAAAAACAATAAAACGCGTACTAATGGACCCAATGAACAAAATAGCTGCAAAATACAAAGAAGCTCGGGGAAGTCAGCAAACTTAAAGGCATGAGTTCATTGATTTGGTGCATGAGCGCTGATGCAAGGGGCTGTCGCTTTTAGAAGAGATGGATACAGTGGTGCGTATTAGTTCTCAAACGCTGAGCTCAGTCGAATGAATTGATAAGGTTGAACAAGCGGTGCGATGGGATAAACCTCAACCCTAGCATTTATGGCTAGAAGGCCTGGAAATCAGGGAAAAATATGGATACGACGCTGAAGATGGAAGTGGAGACGTGCTATATGAGGGCACGTTCATTGTGAAGAGTGATTATGCTCTACATGGTTGGCGGCGTCCGGTTTCGGATTTGCCGGACACGGTGGCCAGCCACATGACGCATGCGCCTACAAAGGGACCATGGGTGGCTTGCGCTGCACCACCCACAGCTCCAACCACACCCCATACTCAGTGTAAATCCGAAGGAATAAGACCGAGGCATGTGGATAGGAGCCATGCTTCGTCAACGGAGCCGGCCCACACTCCTTCACAGGCAAACACAAGCACTCTGTATTTGGGGAATCAAGCGTATACAATAGGGTGGCTGGACCGTAGTGCGCTCCATACTGTGTGCATGGAACCACGCTTCGAGCCTAGCACGACCACAAGGACCATGCAGCCCGTTCCCTCCAGCAACGACAAACTGTCTCCTAGAGCCAGTATGGACGAGGTAGTGGGTAATAGACAGGTAGGCACTTTGTCAACATGCACATCAAGTGCGGCCACACCGGGGATATCAAGTAGCAGCCAATCACTTGAAACGACAAGATGAAATAAGATAAATCGAATAATACATACAGATACGGGGTCATAACTCTTCGCTAAATTAGCATATGAAGTAAATTGGTTAGCAACGAATCCGCGATATGGAAAAAATGTCCACAAATTACTTAAAATGCTACAAACGCGACAAAGTTACCGAAGATAAGCGCAATTAGTGTAAGCAACGTGGCCAGTTGTTGGAAGATTATTCAAGTAGGCAGAACAAACCAAATAAAGTGATGAAATTTATCAAGCTTAAAAAGACCTAGTTTAAGTGTAAGTTGGTTAAGCCCAACTGCGGTGAAGAGGCATCAAGAATGCATCATTCTCAGCATGGGGCACATGCTCAACATACGGCACTTCTAATTCCGTATTGACCCGCCTCAGCAAGACGAAACCAGACCCAAAAATGGCGAGATAGTTAGCGCGCCTACGTGGTCGGATGATCAAGGGAGTGGCGTTCCCCAAGTGCCTTCAGTTATTAAGGCCAGATAGATCAATGGTTAGAGGTCAGACAAATCGGTAGCAGCTTCTGCCTCGTCAGATGCCGAGGTAGATGGCCTTATTCATTCAAGAGTAGCAGTGGACAATGACAGGTTCACACTACAAGTTAGGCCCGATTGGTGACGAACATGAGCACCAAGCATTGCTTCGGACAGTAAGAGCACCACTTTCGCCCAATGGGTTAATAACTCCCATTGTAATTCCCATAATTTCCAGCGGAACTGTTTTGTTTTGGAGGTCTAAATGCGATCCACCAGTATTTAATATAAACTACTATTAAAACTGTTCTACAAGACCATGCCTTTCAAGTTCCTTAGTTGCGTTTAGTGTAGGAACGTTAAAACAAAGAGGATGTGAGTTTATGGTGGAGCGCAAGTTGGATAAATTTGACGCTGGTATGTGCTGTCTCTGGGACTAGATTATTGCACCAGCTGCACCCAATTTATCATTCTGCTAATTGTGAGCTCCGCTAATGATTAAAATACAGCAACGATAGAGCAAGCTGCGGAAAGCAGCGGCGATTGTGATCTCCACCCATCTACTACACCCGGCCTTTATTATTGTTGTTCACTACTTTACACACATCTGCATGGCAAATGCATTGCCGTCCATCATTCTGTGAACAGAGTCCACATCACTGGACGCAGTTATGCCGTGATATCTAAACGCCCGTGCGTCTTAGCGCACCGACTCTGGCATTTGCCTTCCGTTTGTACAGTCGCAAATACGGCTGAGTGGTATCTTGGCTACCTGTAGATTGTGAAGGGTCGGTTGTGTATGAACTGGTCGGATATTGTTGAGGTTTATAATAGACGACTTTTCATATTCACGTGGATAATACCTTAGCTCATTTCCGATCTCGCTTTGATTCGACCAGGATGTTCTACGCGTTACACAGTCACAAGAGAATTTGCCGTCTACAGGGTTCGTTACCAACACCAAGCAACGGAATCAATTACTGACCGCTCAGATGGCTGTTGAACTGTGCGCTGAGCTTGGCAATTTTGTTGCAAACGTTGCGCCACCAATCGAGGTGACATCAGTGCGAAGTGGAGTGGTATGCAATAGCGTAAAGGAGCCTCGGTGAGACCGTTCAGTGCTCTCACTAGATATGGGCAAAACAAGACCAGTCAAGTGATCAAAGACGACAAATCAGCTAATATCTTCAGAGCCAAGTGGGCAGGTCCCAGGTCTATACGGCAACGCTTTCCACACGGGCTTTATTGAGACATAAAGTAACCTTCTCAGTGGTGTAACCGTAGGGTTGGTGGCACAACTATTAAGCTGATTGATTACTACCAGTAGCTGCTCGGGGATAGATAAAACCGGTGGCGTATCGGTTCAGCTCAGCGAAAGTTGCACTTTGGAGGTGAAAAGCACATACCGAAGGGTATAGCGTCACATGTCAGTTGCTATATATATATATATATATATATATATATATATATATATATATATATATATATATATAT